AAAACTACATCTCTTATACCTGTGATAGCATGAGTCAAATGATTATCCACATGAAATAATCAGGATTTGTTTTGTTAACTTTATTTATATATATTTTTATATATATACACACATATATTTCTAAAATATAATTGACATAGCATTATATTGGTTTGAGGTGTATAAATGATTTCAATATTTGTATAGTGCAGAATGATCACAGCAGTAAGTTAACATCCATTGCCAGTTTATTTCTTGTAATGAGAACTTTTAAGATCTACTTTCTTAGCAGCATTCAACTAAACAATACAGCATTAAGTCAAGTCAGTCTCCCTGTGTTAATGTTACATCCCCAGTACTTACCTGTTTTGTAGCTGGAAGTTAGTACTTTATGACCATCTTTACCTATTTTGTACCCAAGTCCGTCCGTCCCCCTGTCCCCCACTTCTGCTAACCACCCATCTGTTCTCATGAACTTAAGTTTTAAGTCGTTAACATTTGAAAAAAAGAAGCTACTTTTATTGAGTGCATCCCTGATTTAGGAATTCACACACAGCTGAGTATTTCTTCTGGTTTAACTGGTAAATGTGTCGAGCATTATGTGGTATCTTTAACCTAGAGACGAACAAACACTGGTTTTTATTTTAGTAAAGGAGGATGCAGTACAGTTGTAGTACATGATTGCATCCACTTACTGGATTAAAATATTTACTGCACATTTAATTTGTTTTTAAGTAGTAGAGCTTCTGTAGTTACTGTTCTGTAAATCTTAGAAGCAAACAACAACAAAAACTGAAACAAAGCTCAGATGGGTATCTCTAGCTTCACTGTGAATTACTGTAAAATCGCTTGCATGAGGGGGGTACTCCCCCAAAAATGAAAGTTACTTATAAAAAGTTGTATATACTTACATGTTTAAACTTCAGTCACCTTCAAAGCACTCTCCAATTGATGCAGCACACCTATTGAGACATTTTTTCCACTGCTCAAAACAATTTTTGAACTCATTTTGATGTCTTTTAGTGCTTTTGCCATTTTTGTGTTACCTTTTCCACCTCAACAAGAGTTTCCCTTTGAGGACTCTTTTCATCCAGGGAAACCAAAGAGAGTTGCTTGGGGCAGGGGATGAGATCATGTGAATGGGGAGGGTGAGGCACGGGGGTCATGCCATTTTTGGTGAAAACTTGAGTGGGCAGGTGCACTCATAAATCACCCATCATGAAGTGAGCAAATGCGTTAAGAGTCTTAAAAAATAAATTTCACTGAAGATGAATGCAGCCTCTCACAACACCAGCTGGTACACTGACACAGATGGGTTCCTAGTACACCCACCTAGCAGGAAAGTCACCTAGAATTATCTTCTGGCCCTCCCTCCAGAAGATCGTTCCTTCCCCCCCCCCCCCCTGGGGTGAGGGGGCTCCCCTTGTACACACTTCATGCAGTTATTAGTTATTCCAGGACCTTTTGTTCTGTACGGGTGTAATGGAATGAATGGTTAAAAGCTCTTCGTAGAAGAAAAATGGTTTATGTCTATGTGTCCTGAATGAGACTATTTTAAGTAGGTTTAGGAACATATTAATATAAACAGAAAATAACTTCAGATTTCTATCATGAAGTCTTAACAGTGTGACTTCTTTCCCTTTGAGTTTATGCAATTTTCTCAAGTGATAAGTGCACATATTAAGGTTTAAGTGGTCTTGTCTTAGGAGGTAAATAGGGTTTGCATATTTACTGCCACATTTTTACTATGGCTGCATGAGTGAAAAAGGACATAAAATTACTTGACAGGTTATGGGCACAGACAAAAGTAAAAATAGCTTTTAATACAAGATGAATACTTTGTGCTGCTGCTGTTGTCTGCCTTGGTATCTTAAATGTCTTTTAAAAACCAATGTACCAGAGTAGATCCACTTGTAATTTAAAACATTTCTTTGAAGTAGTAAACTTCTTTCTTTAAACAAAATTTTGTAGAACAACCATTTTTTAACTCTTTCAGATGTCCTTCGACAATTGGAAATGTTGGCATTATCCCAGGAGGCTTTAACTGCCAAATGATGATAAATGGACCATATGATAGATTTTACTGAAAATGAGTACTATGGTCTTGATTTGTTCCCTCCTCTATGTTGGAGATTTTTGTCTTTTTTTCCTTCTATATTTCCTGAAGTAGTAGCACTTGACGTGAGTTTTATGAAAAATTCTTGCCCTTAGCAGTGTGTAAATGTTTATTTTTGCAGAGCCATAAGTGTGATCCTTGGTGACAGGTGGAAGAAAATGAAGAATGAAGAGAGAAGGATGTATACATTAGAAGCAAAGGCTTTGGCTGAAGAACAAAAACGTTTAAATCCTGACTGTTGGAAAAGGAAAAGAACCAATTCAGTATGTTTCAACAAGTAGTTGCTTAACATTATCTTCACTCTTCTCCTGAAATTGTACTGGAATATTGCAGCAGTTGTTATAACCTTTAAAAGGCTGTGTTGATACCGTTTCTCAGCCTTTCTGTACTCCAAAACCTAATAGTATTTTTATACCACCATACTTGGCAGGCTTCCTTTCTTTTCATTACTCAGTGTCATTTAGTCTTTTAGCATGGAAGGTAGAAATGTTAGACATGCATGTGAAGAATGTCGGAAATGTTGAGATATAAAAATAAATTTGGAATAGTATTTGGGGGGGGTTGAAAAGTGGGTGTTAATTAACTTGAATATCAAAGGAATTTTTTCTAATTTGGGGGTGGTATGTCTCAACAGCCTTTTTTTTTCCTTAATTGGTGAGGGGTGATAGAGGAATGGGGGGTATAGGGGTACATTACCCAACCTTTGTGAGGACCTCTAACATATGTATTGTTTCCAGATTTTAAAAAAAACTCCAGGAAAGAGAAGAAATAGAAAGGTCCAGGAAGACTGGTGAAAAGTTTGCACCATAATGCTACCTTTAATAGATTTGATTCTTAGAACTTTGCTATTATTAGACTTGTATATTTTAGGTGTTTTTAGATTAATTACAAGAAAATATTGTATGATAGAACAGAATGAGCTCAATTTGAAATACCTAAAAATGAAGGGCAGACGTCAGTTTGCAGCAGTAGGACTGGCCAGTGTGTCTATGCCTGGTTCTTTAGGTTCTTTAGGGTAACTTGCACTTCACATATGTTTACATTTTTCAGGAATTTCTTTTAAAGAAATAGTGGTCCGATTCCAGTATAAAAGGGTGGTTGAACTAGATTTTCGAAGTTCTTGACTACATTAGGATTCCATGGAGGACTCTGCCTGCATCCCTTTTTCTGTACCTCCTAAGTTCATTTCTCTCCTCTTCATCTTCAAAAATGTCTTGAATGCTTGAGCCATCAGATATTAGTGAAATTTTTTAAATTCTCACCTTTGAGAAAGTGATTTTTTAAAAAACAATCTTATAAGTGTTACCTGTCTTCACTTTCATTTGTAGAACTGAGTTTTAATTTTATCTCCACAGGGCTCACAACAGCATTAAACCGGGACGCTCACATCATCTGCATTTGCATAAACCTAGACAGCTGATGGGAAGACTTAAGAAGATCAGGGTCTCACCGTTTGTCCAGAATTCCTGTGACCATAAGATACTGAAAGCATTGAGTCTTGAAATGATTTAATAATAAGAGTGAGGATTTGCTTTCTCCATTAGAACATTAAGTAAGCTAAAACTATCAACATTGTAAACCAAATTGCCTTATTTTTTCTTCCAAACTTCACATATGTCTATCAGGTAATATAGGCTTGAAAATTGATATCCTGTGGTGCTAAAAAGTACAGTAGAAAGAGAGGAGAAGTGTATACATGTTTTATTTTAAATTGTACAAAAGGGGAATTTAAAAATATGTAACTGCTGTTTATACATTGGCTCCTTACTGCTTATTAATCTGTATTGTATACATAATGGAACAAAACAGAAGCTGGGAGTTGGCCTTTCTTTGAGCAGCCACCACATGGCTCAGCAGCTGTGCCAAACACAGGAGCTCTAGTCTGGCCAGTGCCAAGAAGCTACCAGAACATGTGGCAGGTGGCTGGTGTCAGTCTCCGAGGAAGAGCTGCCCGCTGTAGTTACCCAAGCATGTTGAGTTTATGCACCAGGTGGCAGCACCCCTCCATTATTGCCAGTTGAGACCTGGCCCAGGCCACCATGAAGTTAATAGCATTGGGGTATAGTCACTGTAATGGTGCTATTAACAGTCGATACCATTGTATTTTCAATTTTGTGTTCTGTATTTCCTCAGCCACATATCTTAAATATCTTATTTTGTCATCATATCTTTATGGTGGGGGCAGACTTTGCACTTATTGCAGTGCAACACTTGCACTTTACTTTTCCTCCAACTGTCTGAAATTAGAGCAAATACATTGGCAATACAGCTGCTTTGCTCTGAGCTACAATCATGGCTTTTCATGTTACTTACCAAGTGGTGTTTCTGGTTAGGAATCACAGCTGTAAAATTGATTTCAGTTCCTTACACTTCATGATGTTGCCCCTAAATTTTGCACACTATATTCTTGTATATTATTTCAAATAAAATGAAAAAAAAATTGTTTATCTCTGACTTCTGCTGATTGGTTTTGACTTAACGTCATGTATGAGACATCAGAATAACAGGTTCAGGAGATGGAAAATGAGTTGTAGATGTGGTTTTAAGCATCACATTAAAAATACAATGTTAATAGGACAAGGGCAGCAGAGAAATAAAACCTAGATTATTATCTATTAGAATCTTTTTTTTTTTTTAAGATTTTTTTTTTATTCACGAGAGGGGGGGAGGGGGAGGGCCGGAGAGGGGGAGAGAAACATCAATGTGCGGTTGCTGGGGGTTATGGCCTGCAACCCAAGCATGCACCCTGGCTGGGAATTGAACCTGCGACACTTTGGTTCGCAGCCCACGCTCAATCCACTGAGCTATGCCAGCCAGGGCTGTATTAGAATCTTTGTAGAGTAAAAATTGTTTTTGACTTTGCAACAGACCTGAAAGTCTGCTTTTAATAAAATGACACACACACTGTAAAGACAGCCTTTCTTTATTGCAGATACTGTGTGACAGATTGAAACAGCCAGTTAGCTCTCCATCTCTGGGACATGCCAGTGGTTCCCAGACTTTGTTGCATATCGGAAACACTTGGGAATGTTTTACAAAACATACTAATGCCTGGCTCCTACTCCACATGTCTTACTATGCAGTACAAATTAATACCAGGGTGTTTGTTTTGTTTTCTTTTTTAAGGTTCCACCACTGATTCTAATGTGCAACCAAATGTGGGAACCACTGGGGCTATAGATCTGGTGAGGAAGCAAACTAGTTGGGAGAAGCAGGGTACTTAACTGTATAACCTGATCAGGTACCTTAAAAAGCAGTGGGGACTCAGTATGCATATCTGTGGGGGACTTGGTTAGGTGATAGGAAAGAAATTTTAGCTAGCCTTGTAGAAAAGCTTAAAAGGAGAGGTACGAGTTTGAAGGTCTTTGTAGAAAATCAGGTCCCTGGAGTTTGAAGGTGGTGATTTTTGACATTTTATGCTACTTAAGTAAAAAAGGCTAAAGAGATCAACAGAAAAAGAGCTGTAGGAAGTACAAAAATGTTGATGACATTCTTAAGGTAGTGACTAGTGGTTTTTTTAGAGTACGTGTTATTTAAACTGCCAACTTTGAATGGGTTAGCACAAAATGGAGATGAATACTTCAAATTCTTACTGAAGAGTAGACATAGCTTTTTGAAGCAGTTGAACCATTATAGGATAAACTGGAGCAAATTCTTTGCCTTCTCTACTTCTTACTGACTGAACATAAGCCTCCAGGGCTCCCCTGAAAATAAAAACAAAAACTTTGTCAAAAAATTATACAAAGTAAAATAACTTAGAGGGTGTCAATGTATAAAAAAGAACCAAGCCCGTTTCTGGAACTGCTCTGCCCAGTTCCATAAGCTAAATGACCAAACAGCCTTAACATTGGTAGTGTGTTGCTATTGGTAAGGTACAAAACAGCCTTTTCCAGTCTGCATTGTACTTGGTGGTCTAATTAACAATCAGAGGCTCTCTGGCCTCTGAGATTGTTCCCATTCAGAGCTCACTCCGAGAGAAGGCATGCTCTCAGTGTGGGGGCTGGGGCCCTAGGGTGCACACTGTGACACCAGTAGGTGCACTGTCATTTGGTAGAACATAAACCCACACAGAGAATTACTCTTGGGCTCAAACTTTTGGCAAGTGGTGGGATAATAAGGCAGTCGATTTAGTCAAAGGTATGTGATACGAGCCAGTTATTTATGAGTATAATGTTCTCATGGATTAGATCAGGGAGTCAGCAGATGGCCCACAGGCCAAATCTAGCTCTATGCCTGTTTGTATATTGGTAGTGGTGGCTTTACAGTGGCACGGTTGAGCAGCCAGGCAGGGGCCATATGGCCTGCGAAGCCTAAAATACTTGGTATGTGGCCCTTCATGGAAAAAGTTTTCAATCCTTGAACCAGATGATCTGTTTAAGTGTTAGATCACATTTCAATGGAGCTAAAACAGTAGTTAAAAGTAATCATCGGTCTATTTAAGTCCCAGGTATAATCAAATTTTTAATATTAATACTGTTTTTTTAAAATTGCACAACCCTGAGATTAGAACATTTTTATAAAGATGTAAGTTAACACCATTAGCTCACATACTGTCTCAATTCCCACCTAATACCTAATTTTTAACTGGTTGATTTGCTTCCAAACACTGAAAATGTTAATCCTTGATCAGATTTGTTCATTATTTTCATGTAACTGTGGGGAATGTACTTGCCCGGGGCCTGTCCAGCTCCTCACTCCCCCTGCAGGGCTCCTCCACCCCCACTGTTTGCTTTCACAGTCTCAGCCCCTTTATTTCCAGCCCTGACCTCCCTCCTGATGGCTGCTTTCAACCTGCATTCTGGGTATTTTTACCTGCTTTCTTCCAGATCCTTCAAACTTACCTGCCAGAAACCTAGGGCAGTGGAAACCCAGAAAACAAAGGTATAGCACCAAGAGTGAACCCTAATGTAAGCGATGGGCTTTGGGCAATAGTGATGTGTCAGTGTCGGTTCACAATTATAAGCAGACCACTCTGGTGGAGGATGCTGATAATGGGGGAGGCTATGCATGGGGGCAGGAGGGATGGATGGGAAACCTCTTCCTTCTCAGATTTGCTGTGAACCTAAATTTGCTCTAAAAAAATGAAGTCTATCAAAAAAGAAAGGGAAAGAAACCTAGGAGGAGGAAAACCACCCCTAGGGCAGAGTTCTGCCCACCTTTCCCTATTGCCACAAAAGGCACCATCATCCCTCAAAAGCTCCCCTTCGATGCTACACTTGGTTATCAAGTCTTATTTTGTCTCGTGTATTGCCACATCCAGTCCCTTCTCTCTCCTTTGCTTCAGTTTGTATCCTGCCGTTGTGTGTGCCTAACTGCTGCTGTAGCATTATAGATGGTCATCCCAGTACCAGCTCAGCCCACAGTCCATCGCTGGCCACGTCCTGTTCCCTTGAGGATGGTGTAAGCTCACTGCCCCCAGTCCTGTCCCAACTCTGTGTATGCTACTGCTGGGTTCTAGACAGTGCTGTGCCCTAAAAGGCCCCTCACCTAACCAGTTTCCATTGCCTGTGTCACCAACACACATGCAGAGCAGCTTCACCCTGTTTGTGACTCCAGGTCCCATCCCAATGCCCACCCAGGGGGAGATCAGCGGTGTGGGCGCATAAAGATGCCTGTCTGTGCCACAGAAGGGCCCGCTCTGAATACCTCAGTATTAGGACTCCTCTTAGGCCTTTCTCATCTTCCTCATCCTCGAAATGCCCTCCCTTTCTTGCTTTCTTCCTTGTAGAGCTATTTATCTAGGACCCAGCTCAAATGCCCTCTTTTCAAGACAGTCTTTCCTAACTCCAGGCAGCACAAAAGAATTGATGCCACATTGTTGATGCACCTTCTGCATCAACAGCCCTGGCTTAGTGGGATTCCAGCGCTTGGGGATCCCTGAAGGCTGGCTCCATTCTCTGTTCAGGGCCTGCTCACATGACTCAGAGGACTGGCCACCTTTATTTAAGCAGCCTAGCTGGTATTCCAGGCTCTGCTCCACCACCTACTGCACGATCTGGGCTACATTTGAGCCAATTTGCTTTGAGCAGGGGGTTTACACTCCTACCACATTAGAATCACCTGTTTGTTGGTCAGTATCCCTTTTAAGCTGTAACTTAAAGGGTTACAGCTGTTTTGCTTATTTATGAAACTCTAGGACCTAGTGCTTGACAAGTGCATGATAAGTGACTAAAAAATGAATGGAAATACAGGATTATAATGAAAAGTAAAGCAAAACTGCAGAAGAAACTAAAGGAGAAATATGATTGTTGGGTCCTCAAAAGAAGCAAAGTCCTGCCAAGTGGAATTCAGTGCTGTCAGAGAACAAAGTCTTGTGAGAGGCCTCGGTTCACGTCACAGCTGAGCTTTAGTGAGGTTCTTTCTTCATGAAAAAAGAAACTTGCCTCTTTTAAGTAACTTTACAAGTTGCTATGATATCCTGGGCAATCACCCCACTCCCCAAAGTGGCCCCTAGAGATTTACACACAGTAGAAAAATCCCCAAGAGCCCCAACTGTCTTTGAGAAGGTATGTGTAGGAATCAGTCTCAGAACTGAGCACACTGAAATTCTCAGAAACTAATCACTCTGCAGTGAATGGATTAGACCCCTTTTATTTAATACAATACAAAAATCAACTCTGCAGTTTCATTTGCATTCAAAAGGATAAGGCATATGAACTACACAATATGTGGGAGAAAGTTTAGAAATGAGTTTGGTATTCATCAAAATCACCATCAGAACTATAAAAAGACAAACAGATTAAAGCTGCCCTCCTACATAAAATCAGAGCAAGGTTTTCTAGCAATTATTAAATTACTTTATTTGCTTGAGCAAAACATAAGCTTTCTTGGAAGTCAGGCTAAGTATTATGTAAGAATCAGTCCCAACTCTGGTTTGTAACCAAAAGGATTATTAGTTACCCTTATTAAAAAAAAAAGTACAGGAATTGTGCAAAGGATTAGTAAAGGAATAGCTTGTAACATGGCAACACTCCTCAATGTGATACAAACTAGCCAAGTGGAGGCTTTTCTGGAACACAGACTTGGTTTTGTCAGGCAGTAAATATCAGTGTGCTTAGTACTGAAATGCATCAACAACATCAAGGTCTACTACGTGCCTTCACAGGCAGGTACACCCTTGGCTTCCCTGGGCTCCATCCTCTCTTTCAGAATCATCTCTGGCACCAGGTTCCAGACTGGTAGGTATCTAGTGCCACAGGGACCCCAGGGGCAGAGACCAAATATCGCCCTCCATCCACAGGGGCCCAAAGCACAGGAGCTGGGGAGTGGTTCCTAGCTTGTGGGCCTTGGGCCAGGGCAGGAGGGCAAGGAGTCCAAGGATGCATCTGGCACCAAGAACTGTATGGTGACTGCACAGATGAAAATTACCAATAGGTAAATAAAGCCTGTAAACATTTTTGACATCATAAAGGTGTTCTACTTAGATGATGGAATAGCAAGGAGAAGAGTTGCTGCTCTATTACAAATGCCAAGAGTAAATGGGTTTGCGGCCAATCCCACCACTTCTGCAGAACTCGAGAAACCTTTTCATAAAAAATTCAGCCTTCCTCTTTACTGACAGCACATTCAACATTTACGGACCCACAGGTCTTCCCCCAGGGTGCAGCCTCCACACGTGGTGGGCACGCTTGTGGCTGGAGCTCCTGCCTGGCAGGCGCTGAGTAGGTACAGCTTTCCCCCCCTTACACCACTTGACTCCATGAGCCAGTGGTTACTCTAATTTTAAAATTAACTTGACAAGTATCCATGCAAGCTCCAGAGAAACATCTGTGTCCAAAGGAAATAGGACGGAAGGCAGAAGAGAGCTCATTATCTGCCATCTATTCACAGCAGCAGTTGCACTGCCCTCCATTCGCCCTCCTTCCTGGCAGCCCAGCACACTGCTGGGAGGGACAGATGAGTGCGCAACAAGGTTTGCCCCGATCGCTAAAACAGATTTACTGACATTTAAAGAGCAACACTCGCCCTGGGTTTATCTGCAGGGGAAAGAAATTCATCCAGCAGCACTTTAGCATGCAGGGAAAAGACAGTTGGCAGTAACAGATGAGAGAGGACACTGTCAGGATGAAGCCTTGCCCACAGCCGGGGCTGCAGTAGGAGCCGCTGTGGGACCCCCAGGGAGGGTTCCATTAGCTGCTCAGAGTGTGAAGATTCTGGTATCAGACATGGGGGGTACGGAAAGACCTTATTTAAAAAGCATGACATTATTTCTTAGCATGATTTTCAGTTGCTAATTATAGGCTTAGCAACGGCACTGCTGATGAAATCACCCAGGAGACATTTTTGAAGAGCGGCAAAAGACGGATCCGTGACTGTCCATAGCAGGACAGCTGCTGCGGACGGACTCATTCCAATTTGTTAAGAAGACAAAAAGGAACCCTGTTTGGCTGACTGAATTCCAAATACTCTTCTATCACCCCCAAGTGTGTTGCAGCTGAGCGAGTCTTTGGGACTCAGAACAAAAATGCCACAAAGACACTGAGAATCCCCGAGTTAGCCCAGGCCCACAGTCTTTTCTGAGGGTGGTTTGGACTGGTCTCATGAATTGCTGGGAGGTTCACCTGATGTCCTTTCCCATTTGGGTCTGATGCTCATAGCTGAGAAGAGGAACACACATGCAAAGATGAAGAGCAGGGGCCAAGCAAATTTACTTTTCATTCGCAGAGGAGCACGGAGGGTGAGGGGCTCAGGCAGACTCTGCACCAAGCTTGAGAGCTCCGTGCCTCTCCCTGAAGCTGGGCCGGAGCTCCTCAGGGACCGCACAGAGCACCTCTCCTCCATGGGGTCCTTCACCTAACACCAAGCCAACGGGTCTCCGCCTTGGCTGCTTGGTGGAACTGCCTGGACAGCTATGACAGCCTGAGGCCAGGTCCTAGCTCCCGAGATTCTCAGGTAGTCAAGAGTGTGGCCTGAACACCGGGACTTTTCAAAGCTCTGTAAATGACTCCTGTGTGCACACACCGTTGACACCACATCACCTCATTGGCCTTGGGGAACCCAACTCATCACCCGCACTTAGGCTCAACTAAGCCTTGTTCAGGGCTCTGATCCCCAGACCAACATCACGGGGATCCTCTGGGAGAGCTGCAAATGGTTTCAAGAGCTACCAGAGGCACAACTGACTGGATTTGGAGGATGAGGGTGACGAGGAGCTGAATGATGACTTCAAGGTTTCTAGCTTGCTGGGTAAGTGATGGTGACACCTTATCCAAGACATGGAGTCTACAAGAATGAGCAGATTTGAGAGGAAAGATGATTTTTGACATTTGGGGGTTGAGGTTTCTGTGGAGCTTTGCGAGGTGACATATGATAATGAGTCTACTGGTCTGAGGCTCTAGGCAATCAAGGTGGGTCCCAGACCTGGGAGCCCTTGGGGTAGAAGCAGTCACTCTGGTCATGGGTCTGGATGAGCTCACTTGGGGACCAAAACACAGGAAGAACATGAAGGGAAATGAGCCAGGAACAAACCTCGGGAAACTGGCATTTAAGGAGTGAACAGAAGACAGGAAAAAAATGGCCAGAAAGGTTAGAACAGAAAGAGATGACTAGGGTATCCTGGAAGCTCCAAGAAGGCTGGACTGTGTCTCTGTTGGCATTGTGTCCCCAGGGCCTCGAGCACAGGGATCATCAGTAGGGAGCTGCTGCGGGACACATGGTATCTAAATCACTGCTGGCTTTGTCCTTGTTTTCTACTAATAACTGCATCAAACTTTTGAGTATTTTTCGAAGTTTACTCACATCTGTACTCCACCAATTCAATAACTGCAACATGAAAATAAAGCAGAAAATGTGAAGCTAAGACAAGGAGTCTTTTCATAGCTGAAGTTGGTTTTCAAAAGCAGAAACGCATATTCTTAGGGCTGCATCAAGCATGGGCCAGCACAAAAGGGACGCGAAGACTTGGAAGTGAAGGAAGCAGGAAGCAACCACTGTTGTGCCCAACGGTTCTCTCACGGGCTCCTTTACGTGTGTGCCCCTGCAGTGAGGTGCCTGCAGCGCGGAAGCGCCGTCACATGTACATGCCCACCTGGGCACTGTTCCTTCCCCTGCATCTCCCACTCTCCCCAGGCTTCTAAAACAGACAGGTGCCCCTGGAACACATGGCTTTACCTGATGAGGAGGAGCCTGTCCTTTTCAGATGGATGGTCATCTAGCCACTGGGAGAAGCGTGCATGGGACCATTCTGCCCTCTGAAGGGTTGAAACACAGAGAAGGGCGCACACATTCTTCAGTGAATGGCAGCAAGTGCTGGTTCAAAAAGTGCTCTTAAGGATTCCCAAGGTGAAATTACCTCCAACAACTGCCAGAAGGAAGGTGGCATGGCTGTTGGGGCACCTTCCTAACCCCCAAGGAGACTTGTGGATTTGCCAAGAGAAGGTGGGTCAGCAAAGGAGATGGGGCCTCTATCAAAGCTTTATGAACATAAACTACTGCATTTTGGGGGCCATAAGACACAGCTAGGTTTTAGAGGAAAATAGAAAAAAAATTTTGAAGCAAAAAATGTGGCAAAATATTTAATATCATAAATAATATTTCACCAATGTAAATGTGAACAGAACTCAACAGCAACATTAACAACCATTATTCCTCCCAAACTGGGGGGGGAAAGGAGGGGAGCGTCTTATAGTCTGAAATTGAGTTACTTGTGTCATTATTATTTAAAGGGCTTATTCTGAATTCATTAGGTAATTCTTATACTGCAGGGCAGTGGGAATCTTCATTCCTTAATGATTCTGCTGAGACAGAGGCCCATGACTAAAGGGGACAAAAGGAAGGCCAGGAATGCATTCTGTGAATGGGGCTCGGGGTTTGCAGACGGAAGAGGGAAGACTCATAATGGGTCGTGGCCTCACATTATTACCTGGAAGGGGGATTTCAGCTCAGCAGGCGCTCTTGTGAACAAAAACTGAATAATGATGCTGAATGGAATAAGGTCCCCCAGGGCAGGACTGCTGGCCACGTGTTCGCTCGTCTGGAAGAGGAGTGGTCTGAAAGAGGGAGAAGCAGGGTTACTTCATGCTGGTCAATACTGAAAGAGGTGATTTGGTAGAAAAATCAAAATAGCATATTAGTAGAATAGACTAGCATAGGAGTATAACAGCATAACAGAAGAATAAATAATAGCATTCTTCCTAAACTGGCCAATTCTTAACCATTTCTTAACTCCACACTCAGCCTGGACGCCCACATACATCCACATACTCTGCCAGGCTGACCCGCCATCAGCTCTTTCCTTGTCCCCCAGCTCACTGGCCTATGGGTCCCACTTTGCTGTCAGCAAAGTCTCCTCCTAGAGCCCATCTAACTAACAGGCTAAACTCAAACCACACAGTAAAGCCTTTGAGCAGTTATGATTAACAACTTCTTATCTTCATCAAAACTTTCAGCTTTCACTTTAAATAAAATCCTCTTTTGGGCCATAATCTAAGGTGGGTAAATTCAAACATTTTCTTTTTTTTTTTTAATATTTTATTTATTTATTTTTAGAGAGGGAAGTGAGGGAGATAGAGAGAGAGAGAGAGAAACATCAATGTGCGGTTGCTGGGGGTTATGGCCTGCAACCCAGGAATGTACCCTGGCTGGGAATCGAACCTGGGACACTTTGGTTCCCAGCCCGCGCTCAATCCACTGAGCTACGCCAGCCAGGGCTCAAACATTTTCTATACAACTTTTCAGAGGGCAATTATGTCTTTGTATGCACAAAATTATTTCTTTGCTGAACATTGCATCAAATATTTATGCCAGCTCCCTTCTAATGAGGTACATGTCAGGGGTCACCATCCACCACACAGAGGCAGGCAGGCAGGCAAACCTACCCCACTACCAGTCACCTGCCACCTTGTCAGAAGGCTGGCAGGAATAATTAGAAACTCTTACTGGCCTCTCTTAGCTTTGGGCTCTGAGGAACTCAGAGGGGGTTAGAGGCCTGGCTGGCGGTGAGAGGTAAGATGGTAGCCACATCTAACAGAGAGCAACGATGCTCACCCATGAGAACAGCTCTGAGTTCTGGGCTCCTTCCTCACCCCATCGTGACCACTCCCATCCATGGCTGAAGGCCTGCACAGACCACAGACCAGCCTCTCCCAACCGATGCTCAGCTGGGGTGGCAAGTCAGGGGTGCTCTCAACAGACAGGTGATTGTTGCTGCATCCAGAATGTTATTGGAAAGAATGTCTTTATATTAATTATTCTATAGGTAAAATCTATCTCTGGGCAGATTTTTCTAATTTCAACTGTTTTATCAAATAATATATATCAGTAATGTATTTTATGTACTGATTGTAGAAACATTTTGGTTCATTTGTGTTCCTATCACCAGAAACCATGACTGCTCCAAACTGGATGCTGCCTGGGGCCACAGCTAAGGTCCCCCACGGCCACACCGAATCACCTCTGTGTTTTATGCTGTAGAACTTCAGGCAAGGAGTCTAGCACCTCATCAGGGAAGAAGACGAGCTACAGGAGCTCTGGTCTTTCTGCGGGCGTCCCGGTAAGTCCTGCACTGGTGTGGAAGATGCTGTCTCCATTTGGGTGAAAGTGCCTAGCTTCAGCAATGGCAGCGGCAACCAGAGCGATAGCCACCACATAGAGCAGTGGTCCCCTACCTTTTTGGCAGCAGGGACTGGTTCGTGGAAGACGATTTTTCACGGACTGGGGGTGGGGGATGGTTTCGGGATGGTTCAAGCACATTACAGTCAAGCTCACCTCCTGCTGTGTGGCCCAGACTGGTACCAGTCCGTGACCCAGAGGTTGGGGATCCCTGATATATAGGACTTACAGGGTGTCAGGCACTATTTTAAAAGCTTTATATGTATATATGTGAACTCATTTATTCCTCTAAAAACCCAGTGGGGGGTAAAGAATCAAGTACAAGCTAGAAAAGGGCAGGGCAAGGATTCAACAGCCCCATGCTCTTAGTTTTGCTCTTCAGCCCTTTTGAGGATCTCAATGGTATCTCAAAACTGCTTGCCCTATTTTCAAACCAGATAGACTCTCAGTGAGAGAGAAGAATCCTGGAGAGAGTATGATTTAGAACTGTCAACAGTCCTGTAGAGGAACCAACCTGAGCTTCCAGCAAGATGGCAGCATAGGTAAACATGGTACTCGCCTACCCCCACAAGCACATCAGAATTACAACTGACCTACAGAACCACCACCATTCAGAACCGCCTGATATTTGGCTGAACAGAAGTCCTATAAGTAGGGTTATATAGAACAACACATCAAGACTGGTAGGAAGGGTGGAGAAGCAGAATGTGCTGCTACCATACAATGTGTGGTAGTTAAAAATCAAGAGGGAAGCCCTGGCTTGTGTGGCTCAGTGGATGGAGCACTAGCCTGTGAAGCAAGGGATTGCTGGTTTGATTCCCAGTCAGGGCACACGCCTGGGTTACAGGCCAAGTCCCCAGTACGGGGCATGTAAGAGGCAACCACACATTGATGTTTCTTTCCCTCTCTTTCACCCTCCCTTCCCCTCTAAAAATAAATAAAATATTTTAAGAAATCAAGAGGGATACCTTGGCTGCCAAGGCACCCTCCCCTGAGGAGTAAGAGGTCCCAGCCCTACCCAAGGCACCCCAGCCCAGGGTTCCCAAGAAGAAAAGTCCCTATAACTTCTGGCTGTGAAAACCAGCAGGGATTGTGGCTGAGATGAAAGGCTGCTGGAATCCCAAGTATTCCTCTTAAAGGGCCCACAAGGGACTTAAACTGACTCGTTCTGAGCTCTAGTTCGAAAGGCTCCAGGGACTTGCATGAAGGATCTCAATTGTCTAGCTTCAAGGTGAGAGCTGGAGGGGCAGCGTGCTCCCAGAGAGAAGTGCTGGCAGAGGCCACTGTTCCTTTGATGAGCCCTCCCCCCACAAAGCCAGCAGGTAGGCACCATATCTGAGTCTCCATCAACCTCCTTAACACTGTTTACCCCACCCTGGTGATTCTAAGACCCCACCCAACCTGACATGCAGGCCCACCCAAGCCATTTCCGACTACTTTTCCATACAAATGGTCTGCACTGGCTCAAGCTGTAGACTTTCCTAAATCTCTCAATGGGTCACAAATCCCAGACAAGCAGCATCTGGCCTCAGCATGCCCCATATCTCCTGCTAAGCAGCCCCAGGCCTGGCACTAGTGACAGCCAGCCTCTGTATGCAGCTTGGCATCTCCCAGGCACCTCCAAGCTCAGGACAAGTAGCAGCCATCTGTAGATCACTTCATAGCTCATGCTAGGTGCCTCTGGCCTGCGATTCCTGGGAAGCCTCAGAGCCAACACACCCTGTCTTTAGCTTCAGACCACACCAAAGCACCACATAACCACCTCCATGAGTGACACCTTCAAGTGGTGTACTCCTTAGGCACCAGAGCCCCACTGAAATGAGTTTTGCTTTGTGGGGTCAGCTCCGGAACAGTAGATCCTCCACTGTAGTTGTGGTCAGTCCTCCCAGCACACTGGCCTGGGAGTAAATAACTCCCATTGACCTGCAAACAGCAATGAAAGACCAAAACCAGTGTACACATCCCACATTGTGGGGGGGGGGGTGCACCTGAAACGCCCAGGTTGGTTGACGGGGGAGGCTGCATTACTGAGCCCTACATGACACCTACTACATAAGGATACTCTACAAGACTGGGAGACAGTAGCTCTGCCTAATACATAGAAACAAACACAGAGAGGCTGCCAAAATGAGGGCATAAAGAAACATGTCCCAAATGAAAGAACAGAACAAAACTTGAGAAAAACAACTAAATAAAAAGAAGACAAGCAATCAACCAGATGCAGAGTTCAAAACACTGGTTATAAGGATGATCAATGAACTTAGGGGAAAAATAGATGAACTTAGTAAGAACTTCCACAAAGAAATAGGAAACATAGGAGTGAAACTAGGAAATATAAAAAGGAACTAGTCAGAAATGAAGAATATATAACTGAAATTAAGAATACATTACATGGAATCAACAGTGGAGAAGATGAAGCAAAGTATTAAAAAAGTGATTTGGAGGATAAAGAAGCATTAAATGTTGGGGACTAGACTGTGTGGTTTTGGAGACTGTAGCCCCACAAGAGCAGGCTCTGAAAGGGGCTAGTAAGTATCCCAGGAAAACCAGGTAATGCAGGGGCAGGCATGACCCGACTCTAACACTAAGGGTTCCTGTGGAAAATCAGGCCTGATAAGTACATTATATCCTTGAAGCTTGCTTTGCTTTGTATAGCCCTATTGATATAAACCAGATGTTTAAGTTCAAGGCATAAGGATAAACTCCTTATCTCATGAAATACGTCTTAAAGACCATCTGGTGTCAGCATGTCTCACAGACCCTCACCTATGACAAATCTCTGTGTTCCTTCAATTGTTGTCTATAATAATACCTGTTTTTGTATGACTACAGCCTTTTGACATTGATTGATGAGCTATGCATGTATGCTGTACACCCCTGCGAATACCGATCCCAATAAAAGCGGTTTGGGAGAAGGGCTTGGGGTATTCCCCACTAGAGGGAATTGCCACACCTTTTCCTGCTGGATAAAGACTGTGTCCAGGACAATTTATTTCTCATCCATGGCAGCCAGGAGAGCTCTGTGGGGTGGAGTTCTCCCTCAATTAAACACCCAATCAGAACAGCAAAAAGAAAAAGGAATCCAAAGAAATGAGGATAGTATAAAGGGCCTCTGAGACAACTTAAAGTGAGCCAACATTCACGTCATGGGGGTGCCAGAAGGAGAAGAGAGAGCAAGAAATTGAACACTTGACTGAGAAACTAATGACAAAATTCCCTATCTGGTGAAGAAAAGAAACATACAAGCCCAGTAAGCTTACAGAGTCCCAAACAAGATGGACCCAAAGAGGCCCACACCAATACACATTATATTTAAAGTGCCAAAGTTTAAAGACAAAGAGAAAAACTTAAAAACAGCAAGAGAAAAGCCATTAACTACTTGCAAGGGATTTTTCAACACAAACATTTCAGGCCAGAAGAGATTTGTACAAAATAATCA